TTCCTGCTCTTAATAATAATTGAAATAAATGCATTCCTGTTCAAGTATATTTATTTAGAGTTTCCATCACGTATTATTAATTATATTTTATATTTTGCTAAAAATATAACATCCATTTATTCTCAGGCATGTCGTATTAAATAGCATTAATATAATGAAAAAACTATCAAACATGAAACAACTCTCACGCCCATCCGTAAACAATCAAGGATGAACCATAAGGTTCGTTTCCAAGATGGCCGTGGATGCGCTTGTGTGTATCAAAACGCTATTCAGACCTGTCTATCTCTCTATTTATTCTCGAGATTCTCGTGTGGAAAATCTCACCTGTCGTGGCAAACACCAGCAACACGCAACACAACACACTCACGATGTTGTTCCGCATCATCGTTATGTCGCTCTCCAGGATTTTCCTTTCGGAGCAAGCTACACGCGTGTTCTTCCGCACGACATAGAACGCGCACTGCACGTACGCACCTGACGTCATTCATTGGGTGTAACTGTTACGTAGTACGTAGTAAGCCGACGATCCCTTCCCGACCGTTTCCCCCTCTCGCCAACGGCGGATCGAGACGCATAAAGTGCCCTGGGTGCAACATAATTTCCACAGAGCTCTCTATATAATCCCCCTTTCCAAAGTTTCAAGCCTGATTACCCTGATTAGCTTTTAAAGGGATGTTTAACTTTTAAGGGGGTGTTCAACTTTAATTAATGTAAAATTTAATATCAAATTATCGTTGATTTTCCGTAAACAAAGATTAACAAACTTCTAACGAAAGATATTTATGAAAGATTAAAAAGATTAAAGAATATGGAATATTATATTCAGAAAGCATATCACAATATAATAGAAATTTTTTGGCTACAATTTTAATTTTGGCTAATAATTTTATTTTGAATATTTTTATTTGTATGTAACGTCCCATGAGAAATCTTTTACATATATTTGCCGATAATTTAGCAACTATGAAGACGAACATATTCTATTTATCATATCTATATATTATAAAAAAAAACTTTCTTTTACTATTATTTAAATCATTTTTTTCAAAAATTTTCTTTGTAAATATAAAAATTATGATATGGAAATTTTTTTTAGTTTCAAACCAGTTGCAATAAAATATATAATTAAGGAACGATCTTCACAAATTGACCGAGACAAATATATTGTGAAGAAATAGCGCGACTTAGAGAAGAGAGACACTTTATAAAAGATCACAACTAACGAAGTCAACGAACTGACAAACTAGTTTGATGTCGCTATTTGCTAAGTCAAAGTTTTCGAATTAAGATAAGAGTACAGAGAGCTTCGCGATGTCGTATCTTTCAAGTAAAAACGAGAGCTTGTATATTTCCTGACGCAAAAACGCATCTCGTAATGTTTCAGTTTGTTCATGTCGCAGAGTTGTCATTCAAAGGTGATTTGATGCGAATCGAGAAGTGATACTTATCTCTATTAAAACAGACCAGATATGTGGTGAATAAAACAAATATTTAAACTTTCCATCCTCCATGAGAGAATTTCACATACAAGAAAGAATGTGCGTAGTTACAAAATATTTTGTTCAGTATAAAATATATCCTGACAGAAGCACTTTACATAGTAATATTTTTCCTTTTTGTGTAAAATTATTTAGAAGAAGATAAAGTATGCAAATATCTTTTTTAAACTGAAGTAGACACTGTATTCTTTATTTTTTATTATTTGATCTTACACTTTTGAAGCTAAATTTATGGAATCACTAAAAATGTGTAGTGTGCTATTAATAAATTGTAGTCTATATTACGTTATAATTATAAATTCAATATTTATAATATATATATATAAATGAATAATTTGCCAAACATTGTGTAAATATTTTAATTCAATTAGTAACTAAAATATTCGCAAAATTTTGGTATTCTTTAAAAATTAAAAATTTCATTTCAGAAATTTCATTATTTCTCAGAAACTTTATATTCATGATTTTTATATTTTATAAGCTTATAGAATTTTTTAACATATTAAATTTGTACTGCTATAATTCGCGGTAAAATGATTTTTCCGCTTTCAAGCAAGATTACATGTTGCCTTTCAAACGTATTTCCTAAGTCCCGTTATATCTTTAATCGCACAAGAAGCTTTAGATCATTTCTTCTCAATCTCGCTACCAATCTGCACCGCCCCTATTGCGAAAAGACGCGTTCGGAGCCGCTGATCGGAATTCTCCCGTGATTGGAAGTAAACTCGATCCCATCGCAACCTTGACACCCTCTTTCGCTCCCCGCGCGAAAACAGATAGCCCCGGTAAATTATTCAAAACGTACCCTCTATGATCTATAGAGGCATCCCTAAGCTTGGAACCGGCAATCTATCCTCTCTACTGCCCTCCTCCTCCCCCTTCTTTTTCTCTCATCCCACCGACTGGCCTGTCCGTTCGTACCGCAAAATTCACCTCCTCCTCACCCTTGTCTACCGTCTCTTCTACTTCCTCCTTCTGGCTCTTGCCGGTTCTCCGTCCCCTCATCACCCTGTTTCCTCGGTTTCCTCTCCACGACTTGCCCGTCGCTTCTTCTCATCCGGCACAGCCTCCCCAAGGGAATTCCGACTTTTCTGACAGCCGCCACCGCATTTATCCCATCTAACATCTACGGACGACGAGCTTACAAAGGCGACTCGGAATCCAATAAGTCCGATAACACGCACAACTTCCGCGAGTGTATACAAGTCGGCCAGTTACACCGATAATCGCCAACGTATTGATTTCGTCAAAACACATTTCGTCGCTATTCGGATCGATTGATCGATAGTTACGTGACTTTCAAATTTCTAACAAGATTCTAAATATCGATGAAGAAAGGAGTTATAATTAAAGCAAGAATTAAGAAATATTATTCAAATCGATAACAAGCATTATTAGTATAATATAATATACAATTTTTATGTTTTATCAAAGTTATGTATATTACTATTAAATATGTATACATATAGATAGCAAAATTATACATATGTGTGTGTGTGTGTGTGTGTGTGTGTGTATTCTATTCCGTTTTACCTAATGTAACAAAATTCTCTAATTAGATTATTGTTTTTTGCTTCGCGATAGGAACAGTCGCTATCACCAAATGAAACAGCGTGCGAGACTTGTTTACCTTCCAAAAACTGTTCCATAAATCCGACGATTCGTCGAGCGTGAGAGCGAGACGACAACAAACACATATAGGAGAAAAGAAAAGAGAACAATCGTCGGCATTGAAGCAAGAGCGCTGCCAGATGTCGACCAGGTAAAACTCGAAAGTCGTTCGCTCGAGGAATGTTGAAAATAACCATCGTATAATAAAGCAAAAAATATACATAGTTATATATACATATATATATTTCTTTTGTATTATAAATATATATATATCATAAAACGAGAAAGTACTCTATCATATGTTAATTTAAAACTATAAATAATTTTATAATAATAATATTGTAGAGTTAAGCATAAGAGAGAACCTTTATAGCAATGTATCACATATTATAATATCGATAAATAGCGTTAATATAATTATTAAATATTACTCGTTTATGAGAAATTGGCAATGGACCGATGGTTTCATACTTAATGGGAACATACTTCCTCTCATCACTTGGGAAAAGCCATGGAACGTTTTCGCAAAACGGTTATATCAGCGTATGTGCAGTGTGGAGAAAATTGGCGAGGAAACGGCGGAGTTCGATAACATTGTGTCATGTGTATTCGCATCACGGATGATTCTGGAGCATCTCCCATGCTTCCTCTCATAGAGTGGAAGGAACATGTGTGTTAACCCCTTTTCCGCGACAAACTGTCGCACCGGCTGCCACTCGCTTGCGCAATCGTCCCGCAAATTCGAGCGTTTTCACGGATAATATTCTATCGTGCAGTGCATATTGCGATACATGAGTCAGATGCTGAAAAGTCGAGGAATCTCTGACTTTTCCTCGCATGTGTGTCTCAACGACTTCGCCGATTTGCTCGAGTATATTCGAGTATCGTGCTCTTACCAGAATGCAAAAGTAGATAAATGCTACAGTATACGTATATTTCCACAAGATTATCTCTCACTTTAATTACCGATTATATATATAGATATAGCAGAAAATTAGATAATAAACCATTAAACATACAGTTTTCAGATAATTTTCTAAAATACGAAATCATTTCGAATAAGAGCACGAAGCGTTACATAAGTAAATTAAAAATGTTGCTTCCTATATATTCTTAAAAGATAAAAAAATAAAATATGCAAAAAATATGCTCATTAGAATTTATAACGCGATTTATAATAAAAATTTTATAAAGTTAAATCTTTGTCAAGAGGAGAATCCTCAGACAGAGTAAATCTACAATTCGCGATTTCAAATATATTTTATCTTGGCTATTTTTGACTCGCCGTTACGACATCGTCGGTCCGTCTGCGCAGCATCCACTTATCCGCGAATATGACGGAATGCGACGCTGCGTTTACGCGAGGGACGCATCGATCCGCGTTGTCGTCAAATACGATTCCATCGGAAAACGATAAAGAGGTACCTCTGGCCCGCGCTCCTGCCATCGTCCCCGTCCGGAAAGCTGCAAATCGATGGGGTGCGTATTTTATTTAAATTCACGGAAAAGAGCGACAGAGAGGGAGAGACGGGATGCGACGCAAATTTGCAATTTCAAAATATTCCAGCGAGTCTACGAGCGCAAAAGGGAGCGCCGGGAAGGGAGAGGGGGAGGGGGGAGGGGTGCGAGGCCGGGGGAAACGGAGGGGATTTAAATCCCCTCGCGTACTCTCGTCCCGACGCAATTGTTATTTTAATTCGACTTTTTGTCATTAGCCCGCCGCTAATTCGGCCGAACTCGCCGCGCTTCCATAATGCTTCCTTATTGCTGTCTCTTTTTTTTTTCTAGCCGGTTTCTCTCTCTCTCTTTTAGTCGCAGTCTCATTAAAACGATGTCAGATCGACGGCCGAGTGCTCAGACGTCTGAAGTACATACAGCTTCCGCCAGTTCGAGAGCGGAAAAATTACTTCGTGCCTTACCAGATCAAGGAGTTTTCTTCTCATTTTTCGCCCGCCTCGCCGGAAAATGTGCATTTCTCCGATTTGGCGAATTAATTCGTGGCGCAGAAGCAGCTTTTCAGAATCATTATTAAGTATTTTGCGCAGACAAGAATTGTTTATTTCTATGGTATGCAATGTATTTCAATGTGTCGATAATATAGTATCTCATTCTTAATTATAGAAAATACGTTGAAGAGATAAGAGTGATGCTTAATTAAGAGAGGTGCACAATTTGTAACAGCTTTCTACATAATTATAAAATAATTAAAAAGTGAAAAGTTTAATGAGTAACTGACGACGTTAATAATTTTCAGTCGTAGAAATTAAAATTGTACTCCAATCGATGATACTTTCTCCACACGATATAGAATATTTTTCATTCTACTATAATTAAGATATAATGAATAATTATAAAATCGTATCAATTGTTTATGCCTGAACTCGTCAAT